GGATGTCATCATTGACGTCTTCCACCAGTACTCGAGACGGGAGGGGGACAGAGACACCCTGACCAAGAGGGAACTGAAGATCCTGATTGAGAAGCAGCTTGTGAACTACCTGAGGGTGAGTGGCGTCAAAGCAGGGTTTCTTGTGGCCCTCATGGGGAGGGAGCAGGGCTGGACCCCACCACCTGAATACCTCCAGGATCTAGATTCATTCCCTTCACACTCTGCTCTCCTGCCCCAACACCTTCTGCCCGGACTGTCCCTGTCCGACTGCTGCTTTCCAAACATGCTCCATAAAGACAGATGAAGGAAACCCACACAGGTCTGGGTGAACCTGCAGCCAGATATCTACCCTCATCACCTTATCCGCAACGATCAGTATCATATTGCCCGGGAGTTCCTTTGCCATCTAGCGGCAATAATGTCAGAAATATCAGCCAAAATCCCCCCTTTTTTTTTGTAACTCACTTTGCTAAAGCAGAAGGTAAAGTGTTTATAATACAACATGCTAAAGGAGAGGTTTGTGGCTTAAATAACACTTCTGCCTTCATCATCTCCTCACTGCGTGGTGCCCCGGCAGTGATGCTAGCCTGCTGCTCTCCTATTGCTTTACCGCCACGGGTGAATCATTGCTGTACCCAAAGCAGTGGGTGATGATAGCGTAAGGATGGAACCACTCAGCACCAGGCTACTGGGGACCTGCGAGGGTCCCAGCAAGAAGCTTGAGCTGTGAATAACGGGAGTTTGCTCTCACCCTGTCCCTTCCTTTGCAGCACGTGAAAAACAAGCTCACCATTGACGAAATCATGAAGGACCTTGATATCAACAAGGATGCGCAGATCAGCTTCTGCGAGGTGATGTTGCTGATCACCCGTGTGACCATTGCCACCCATGAACACCTCCACGACGTCGAGGACCAGCAGCAGCAGCAGCAACAACAGCACAAACATCAGCACCATCACTGAGGCGGGCTGTGGTTCCCATCCGAAGCCACCCACGCAGTTTTTGCAGCCCTTGGCTTTCTCCCCTCCATCCCTCTCTGCCCACCTCCCTCCTTTTCCTTCCTTCAAGTTTGATGGTTTTGTTGCCAAATAAAGTTTTGCCCTGAGGCTGTCAAAGCTCTTCTGTGTGTCTGTGTGCGTGTTCCTCAAGGCAACAGTCCTGCACCTCACCCTTTCCCAGCGTGGCTTTAAACCAGGCAAACCCACCTTGGAGACAGGCTGCAGGTTCTCAGGGGCGAGGTGGATGTGTGGGGAGAGCAGGGTTCATTGCAGCCGTTGCTCCCAATACTCATTACATTAAAATGTGCTCCACAGGTCAGGGAAGGCAGTATAATTTGACAGATCTTTGCATTTCCAGCTAGGGAAAAAAAAAAAAAAAAGCCTGTTTTGGCCTCAAAACACTTTACATGTCTCCTAAGACCGAGCTGTGGTGGTACACAAGAGCTGGAAGGAAGGATGGGGATGGATGAGCACCCTTTTCTGGAAGAGCACCCTTTTTAGGGCACTAAAGAGCCCTGGAATGGGGCTGGAAGGGAGCTGCGAGGTGAGTGCGTTTAGTTTTAGTGCTACAGCCAGCAGCGAGGTCTGACGGCTGGGTTTCATGTGGACATGAGCCGAGAACCCCAACTCCTCACTCAGAGCATCCTGAGTTTGCACCGAGGAGGTGCCTGTTATTAACAGCAGCTTCCCAGAGCGGGTGAGCCTAAGATGCTGTTGAGCAGCCTCCCGCTGTGCGCGCTTAGAGCCTGGCTACTGATTTGCAAATGTCTTTTTTGGGGGGGGCATGGGGGGGGGGAAGGAACAGTTGTGATTTCCTAAGGGTGAGTCAAAGCCCTGAAATTGCCGTGCTCTGTGAAGGAACCTGCCATGAGCTTCCCCAAACCAGCAGCACTGAAGCAAGCCTCCTGGTTAACACAAGACCACCGCAAGTTTGCTTCACCACTGCTGGCCAGGTTGCTTCAGCTTCCTTTGGAGTCCGTTTTGACATCTGAAGCGTCAAACACCTTCTTACAAGGTAAAAATCTGCCGCAGGGACAGGAGTCCACTCAGCTCTGCCTGAGTCTGCACAGGGTGGCAGGTCCCTTCTGGAGTCAGATCCTGCACCCAACACGGGTCCTGCACCCAATCCTGCAGCACTTTGGGGTCTCTGGAGAGGGTAAGAGCAGAGCTGGTTCATTGCCACCACTCTGCCAGGGCAGAAGATCACCCTCGAGAACCAAGCTGTCCCCAGAGCTGGCCCATAAGGGGATGCCCAGCTTTTGGGATAAGGGTGGTTCAGGTCCCATGTGCAGCAGATCAGCTTTTCAGGAGCTCAGCACCTTGCCATTGGGTGGTCAGCCCTTCTCTCTGCAGCAGAGGGGTCTCCCTGTGCAGGGGCCAAGCACACAAATCTGGGTGCTGGGGGCACCCACAAACCTCCCTGGGAACCTCCCCCAGGATCCTGACAGGAACCAGCCTCAAAGCTCGTGGTACTGATGCAACAGGATATTTGCCAACACAACAGGACTTCACACTTGCCTGAAACCCGGGGTGCGGGACTCCTGTTGTGTCACCAGCTGGGGCTGTTGGACCATCGCACCAGAGGTGGCAAAGAACGAGCCACCACATACCCTGACCATAACAGGACCAGGACACCGTCTCAGCGCTGTGAGCAAACAGAGGTGATCGCCAGCTCCTCCCTTAATGGCAGAGCGATCCCCAAGTCTATTCACAACCTTTCACCCTAACTCAGCTCACGGGTCCCAAACAGAGGGGACACCAAAGCAATGCAAGGAAGAAGGTGTTGGATACACCCCAACCGTGCTGTACCCTGTGCCGCAGAGGGGTGCTCGGTCAGGCTGACGGGCAAGGTGCTTTGCTGCCTGCTTGGGGATGGGGATGGCACCCGGGTTCCTCCAGCCTTGCTGCCCCAGCAGCAGATCTCCAGCAGCCCGAAGCAGGCGGTGCGCAGCCTCCAGCCCCACCTGCCTTCACCCCCAGGTTATAAGGCAGGATTCGACCTTTGCAAGCTGAGGACCAGGCTCCTGCTGCCACCTGGTGGCATGTGCCACCGAGGCTGCTGGGGTGGCCACTGGCCCCCGAGGAGCCAGGGGAACCACACAGTCCTGCCCTGCTCCCCAGGGTTGCACCCTGGCCCATCGATCACAGCCGGAGCCCTGTGACCCCCCACCCATCACATCCCCTATTTCTACACCACCAGTGCTGTTTGCAATAAGTAGGATTATTTTCATTTGTGTGCCAGGAAAAATAAAAAAGCTTAATTTTTGGGCTAAGCTAGCAGCATCAGGGCACACACCGATTTTTAAACACCCCAAACTCCTCTCTCATAGCCCCCCCTGCTCAAGCCACCACACAGTTCTGCTGGTAAAAGCTCCTTTCTTTCCCAACACTACCACATCAGCTCTTCTTACCCGTGTCCTACGGGGAACAGGATCCTCCAGGGCACAGCTCAAGGCAGCAGGTAAATGGTGGATGCAGATAAATGCTAAATCCTCCTCCTTTCCCTGTTCGGGGGGGATTTGTACCCCACATTCCTGTCTCTGAGCTTTGCCCTGGTGAGGTGCAATGCCATCAGCTCACATTTGCACCCTCCCAAAGGTCCCAGCCTAGGCCCTGCTGAAGGACTATGTCTCCCCTAACTGTCACCCCATCCAGTCCCATCAAAACAGCCTTGGGGTGGCCCTGCCAGCTCCTCACACTGCTGACCCCCTCCCAAAGCTCCCAGGCTGGAGAAAAGGGGCAGAAGCCTCCAGGGCTGGGTTTTATGAACGACCTGCAACAAGGGGATATGATCCAGCTGGGGCTGAGCTGTGCCTCCCAGCTGGGACCCAACCCAGCATCCCCATCCTGCCGGGTCCCCCTGGCCACCACGCACTCCCTCCACCCATGGATGACCTCCTCCACCTGCTGCAGACCCCCTTGACCCCCCGCAGACCCCTCCACGTGGGGTCAGCAGCTTGGTGGCTGACACAGGAAGGGTTGTGCAATGCCCAGCGCTGCGGCAACCGGGGACTTTGATGCACCATGCGCGTCTCATTCGTTATCAGTCTAGACATGCTGATAGGGATGAGCCACAGTGGGGTAAAACTGGTCAGTCCTGGCACACCGTGGCCAGGAGACGACCTGCCGCCGTGGACCAACCTGCGCCCAGAGCCCAGCGAAGCCAGCCTGACGCAGCTGGGGATGGGGACGTGCTGCCGCAGGATGGCACCGTGGTGGCAGCTGGCTCGGAGGGAGTAGCCGGCGGAAGGAACTGGCTCAGAGTGATTCAGAGCAATTTTGCTCCTAATTCCCTTCATTCCCTGGGCGGATGTGTGCTAATCAGGGTGGCAGCAGTGGAGGGAGGAGTACGGCGGTTGTAGGTGCCATTGCCATGCGTTGCCCTCCCATCTTCCTCCACTAGCCCTTCCTGCTCGGTGTGATGGTGCCTGCACTGCTGTGCCTGACCACCCCCCCCAGCATCCCCGGTCCTGGGGTCCTTCCCACGCCTGGGCATATGCCGTGCCCATGGCAGAGTGATGCTCTTCCAAGATCATTCATACAGGGATAGGGACCCACCAACATAAAGTGGAAACCCACTTGGCCATCGGCAAGACTCCAGCCCGTGAGAAAACACTCCTTTGCCTGTGTCTCCATCAAAGGCATGGCTGGGATCAGCAGGTGCTCCAGCTCATGGAGAGACATTGTGGGGATGTTGGTCTCTCTGTGGGGTTTGCGCTAAGCAACCTGGCAAGGCTGTACCCCAAAAGGTTGCGGGGTAAATTGTGCTGCTGTCTGTGCTCAGTTGCCTGACCATCCCAGATATAGCCCTGAAGTGATTCCCCGCAGGGCTCGGGCTCTGCCAAAAGCTCCAGTGGACCATAAGCTGCCAGAGCAGCCCCTGGGCTAATCCGGCTTCCACTGAAAGCATCCGTGTGCCAGGAAACCCTTGCTGCAGAGGGCCTGCAGTGACTTGCTGCCTCTCGCCTCGCTGTGCCAGGGTAAAATTTAGCTCTAGACCACAGTCTGCATCTCATTTACAACCCACTTAATTGCAGAGATGTCTTGTGCCGCGCTGGCGGTGTCAGCAGCGGTACGTGGGCGGCAGAGGTTGGCTCCAGCAACCCCTCCTCTCCCAAACACGCTGCTACGAACCCGGCCCTGCAAATGCCGCCTGGGAAGACTGATGCAGAGCATGATCTCATCTGGCTTCGTACCGTATCTGGCAATCTTGGGACGATGCCTGAGCCCTTAATGAAAGCTGGCACACCCTTCATAGCAGGGAGGGCTTGTTACTCCCCCTTTCCAGGTGAGCAAACCTGGGGTCATTGACTTCTCTGAGACCACACAGAGAATCGGCCGAGAGCCAGGCGTCCTGCCCTGGCTGCCTCGCTGCAGCATCCCCGCAGCCCCCGTGCCTTGTTCTTTCCCCAGGAGTCCTGGGGCAGCCTGGCCCCGTACACAGCTTGATGTGCTCCATTGGGGTTGAAATGCAGCCTGGCCCCGTGCACGGCTCGTTTTGCTCCATCCGGGCTGAAATGCACCGAGGCCGTGCTGCTGGGATGGGTGGTGGCTGTCCCTGTGTGTGGTAGGTGACTTTTCCACTGGAGGGAGCTCATAACCCTGTTGGCCATGGCCACCCGGGACTGGCGTCACTGGGTGTCCCCACACTGGCGTCACTCTTGGGAGCAGGCCGCCTTGTTTGAAAAGCAGCTCAGTGCTCTTTCTCTTTTCTCGCAGAAGAAACCACAGCTCTGCTGACATTGTCCAAGCTAGGCAAATGTGAATGCAGCCTGGGCCCGGTGGCAGCCCACCCGAGACATGTGCGACAGCCTCAAAAATAAGATTAAACGCACCTTTTCTGCAGGAAGTTGTTGGTTTTTTTTTTTGTCTATGACATTTTCTAAGCCCCACGAACTCACAAATCACCTCGGTTGTAAAGGAAAAAACCCAAAACCTTTTGGGGGAAGCTAAATGCAAACTTT